CGAAGTAACAATAAAAATATAATAACAATTCTATAAAAATAAGTAGGACTCGATATATATATATGTAACCTACGTAGCTATAGTAACATAGAAAGTTTTAATGCTGGAAAAGCTATTGAAGCAAGAAAGCCAAAACTACAAAAAAAAAGAGATTTAATTTAAATCTAAAAAAAATTGGATTTCATATATATAACGTCCCCATTGGATCAGCAATAAGTTTGCGGGCTTCAAACGCTAAAAATCAGTGTTCGATTCCCCATGGTAGACAACCTGTCGCAGTTGATTTACTTACATAAGTTTAGCCTCGAACGGATTGGCCTTCGGTCTCAGACAAAGCACAGGTTGTGTACAATTTACAAGAGAAGCCCACGCTTGGTACGGGTAGACACAGGTTGTATACAATTTACAAGAGAAGCAACCGCTTGGTACGGGTAGATGCAGGTTGTATACAATTTACAAGAGAAGCAACCGCTTGGTACAGATACTGAGGTAGGCGCAGGTTGTGTACAACTTAGAAGAGAAACACACGCTTGGTACAGGTAGTGAAGTAGCCTGTACGTATTTGACTTTACTTTTCAACTCTATTGCTAGTAATACAAAGTGAATTTTCATGAACACAGCTCAGATTAAGTGAAATAGTATAGAGATTAAGTATCTGTGCGACTAACTCAAGTTTTGGGCCTTAGATATGTTGTTAAGTGTTTAATTAATGCTGTTTTCAGATATGTTTTTATTACTGTTTGTATTAGTAATACTAATAGTATGACTGATTAGAATTTAGAGCCTTAGAAATTAGTTACTTAGAAGTTAGAGTAATATTTTGGGCTACTGTGCAATATCATTACTTTAGTAACATTTCTTTATTTCATTTTTTAAAATATTGATATTGTTAGTTTTATTAATGGTACTACTAATAATACCAGTCTATGGCTACATCATTTTCAGGTTTTGCCCCCAAAAAAGTAGTTTTACACTAGTATTGTAATATGTAAATTGTACTGTTATTACTATATAGTAGTACTAGTAGTAGTGCTTGTACAATTGTAATAATAAACTTGTTATTAATAGCTGTAACACCAACAGTGTGTAACTTGTAACTGTAAGCTAGATTAAAATAGAGCATGCAGTTAGCAAAGCAGTAGAATAAGTTATGACACAATTATTCACGTATTAAAATAAAACCTTGATCTTACTTAATTAGTCACTAAACTCACCACTGATGGTCATATTTAAACAGGAGCTAGTTCCACATATGGCCATGATTCATTTTAGTTAGTGAGGTAGACTTGAAGTTGAGATTGAAGTTCATTGAACTTCAGTTGGTAACTGAACTTTTAAGTTAAGCTTGAATTTGAAGGACTATTCATAAGGTCAACGTGCCTGTGCTGAGAGCCTAACATAATTGATTACAGAATTTTGATTGCTTTTATAGAAATACGTTTTATGTAAAATAAATTTAAAAATATTGTAATTAATGTCATAAAGTGTAAGAAAAGCTACAGAAGGTCTAGACATTTACAATAAATATAATAAGGTTTTGATATACATTTACTGAATTCTTTCCACTTTCCTCTAAATCTCCCACCATTGTTGTACATCATCATCTTAAATTTATCTTGCTTTTCTTTAATTTTATCCTTTATACCTTTTTAAACCAACCTGGTTTTTTTACTTGCAACCATCCTTTTTTTTTCTATAAGGAACATGCCTGTAGTGAATATTTAAGAAATTAAAATTGTTTCCACATTTATTCAGTATCTCCAGTTAATTCAGATGCCTGATTTGCAGTAGGTAGTTCTTGTCTCATCTTTTCAGAATTTGTTTTTTTGAAATTTGGAACTCAAATCTCATTATTCCTTATCTCTATGTGCAGAAAAACATCAAATATAATTGGGCAATGATAATTTGCACCCAGATGTTCTCCAATCTCCACCCTATCAACCATTTCTGTATTAGAAGTTAACAATAAATTTAAAATAGCATTGTTCCTATTAGGTTCTTTAACAAATTGGTAAAGAAAACCATCCTGAGCAGTTTCTAAAAACTTGTATCCCTCATGACTTGACTCTAATAATTCCCAGTCTGTATGCCTGAAATCAAAATCTCCCATAATTATAACCTCATTAACAGATGAATTTTTTATCTCACTGTAGAGTTTCTTATTAATTACATCAATTTCAGCTGGTGATTTGTAACAAAATCCAACTAAAAGCCTTTTCTCCTTATAACCACTAACATAAACCCAAACAGATTCAACCTTATTGCTATTAGTTTTGATATCCTCAACTTGAACAGGATGTAACTCACATTTTACATTTAAAGCTGCTCCTCCCTCTCTTTTTAGTATTCTATCCTTATTAAATAACCTATAACTTTGGTTATTTCCCATTACATCAAAATCCTCTGTTCTGACCAGTGCTGTAAATTTAGTCATCCATTTTATTTCTAGCACTAAATTAATAACACTTTAGCCTAATGTTAACACTGCTTTTGCACGTTATTCCTACACTATACTTTTCTCTACATTTTATTTTTTCTTCATTATTCTGGCTCTCACTACACTCTAGTCATTAAATGGGTAAGCATAACTATATTATTTGTACTGGTGGAGAATGAAGTCTTAATATTTGAAGGTTTATTAAATCATGTGATTGTGGTACTTTTTTAAAGAGTAGCCTTTGCCAAAAATAGAACATTTAGTTACTGACATATCTGGCATAAATGATTATTTAACTTTCTACTATGAATATAATTCTAAAATGAGATTTGAAATATACATTCCACGTACTGAACAAACCATGGTACATTATTCACAAAGACAACAGTAAGATTTTAATTCTATTTCGCTTTAGTATTTTTCTATGGACGAAAAGGAACCATTTGGTACTTAGTAGCTGTCATTGCTCCCACCCTTAATAAAAGTAAAAATTTAAACCACCATTTATTTTTCAGGAAATCATAATTTCCCTCTTAAACATCTTGTAAAGTACTGGCCTTTAATATAACCATTGCCAACTCATTCTATAAGCCAATCACCCTATTAGAAAAATTAAACTGTTTTAGTTAAAGCCTAGTCTGTCGTTTCCAAAACTTAAATCTTCAGAAAACAGCACAAAGAAATCAGAAGCCGAAGTGTAGTGATTTGTAATCACCTCCTTTGACTTGTAATTGGTATATCCATAAATACACCCTAAAATATTATTAGTTTTACTATTGGCAACAGAGCATTGCCTTGATTTCATTGGTGACTTATCCACCACTATGCCAAGATAATTTTCATCAGTCATGTTATTGAGTAGCTTTCCATCTATATTAAATATGTGATCCAAATTATGATAACCCAAAGGTATTACTTTGCACTTACTATAATTAAATGTCATTTACCAAATCTTTATCTAACTTACCAGGCCTCAACCTTAATTTTTGAAGGCACGAGCAAATGGTTGCTAGTTAATTTTGTTTTTACTCCAGTAGCAAATTGGGAATGCTAATATCAACAAAATTATTCTTCTCTAAAATTAACTGTCATTATGTCTTAATTAATTTTTCATGTATTTATGTCACATTTTCTTTTTAAGTATTTTCAAATACCAAATTAATTTTAATTTCATGTAACAGTATTTTGATTTTAACTATTTTACAAATCTTAGTGCTCTGTTTGGTGAAAACTGGTGTATCATGTACACAAGCACCTGCATCAAAAAAGTACAGTAAGCCACTGATGATAGCCACCAGCATTTTATTATCAAAAGTTATGGTTTAAATGCCAAAAGCTAGCAAAGCATTAGAAATTAATAGGTGCAAAATTTATTTTACAAATTGAGAGAAATATTGGGGAAAAAAAACCTGCATTTTCTATGCTTTCTATTTTATTATTACCTCCAATGAGCAACAACTTGGGCACAGTATTTCAAACCATGCTGCTGGCAAAATTGCACTGCAGAGACCATATAGTGTGAATATAGTTACCTGGACCCCCTTCTTGGCAACTAAATGAGTTGAAGCTGCAGTCTCACAATTCTTGTTTCTGATACTTAGCCTAAGTATGCCACACAGCAAAAAATGAGGATCATCAAAACAGCATGACAGTGGCACATGAAGCAGTCATGTTAATCACTGTAATAGTTACTTCCTGCATTAAAAATCTTGCAATATAAATGACTGAAATGTATATGTCAAAGATATATTGATACTTAACAGAAAGAATCAGCAAATCTTCCTTTTAAAAGGTGCTCCAGCAATCTTTTTATAATGTAACACTAACCAGTAATTTCCTTGTTTGTTGCCATTAATTTTTGAGCCCTGCTTATAAATTGATCCAAGTCATTCTGTAGTACCTCAACATCATCGATTAATACCATTAGAAATACCAAATAATCTTATTTTGTCATCAAACTTTACTTATTATCTAATTATGTCCTTATCAATATCATTAATTTAAGTAAGAAAAAACAATGCCCCTAAATGCTGACTCATGAGACACTCCTCAATTAATGAGGATCCAGTTTAACCGAACTCCAGTGATAACCTTTTGCTTTCTCTTATCCAACCACCCTCAGGTCCAATTAATTAGTCTTTCTGCAACTGCTATTTGACATCTTATCAAAAGCTTTTTGAAAATCTAAGTACATCAAGTCCACAACATTTCCATTATCTAAATAAATAACATCTTCACAAATAGGGAATAGATTAGTAAGATAAGTTTCCTTTAGGGAACCCATTTTTTCTTCCTTTTTTTTCATGACCACTGGTGAGTTTACCTGATTTATCTCATCACTGAGGGGTGACCACGGGCTCCAACTGTCAGTTAGTTTCTTTGCTGAAATCCAACCAAGATGTTCTCGGGAGTCCATCTTTTTGAAGCTCGAAAAATGTGGCAGCCTCAGACAAAGTCTTCAATGGAATGACTAAGAGTGATAACACAATATTGTTGAAATTGTGACAATACAACGTGTGACACCATACTACGTTATTACATTCCATACTGTTCTTGACCATTAGATGTGGTCTTTAATTTGAACGTCTGAAGATATGGACATCATCGCTGTGGAATCATCACTCTTTGTTGTTACATCCCATGGTTTCCTTAGCTACCATATGTTGTTTTGGAGTGTCACCAGTGTGCCTTGTTGGCACTGAAGGTTCTTAACTAACTCCTACTTCTTCATCTCCACCTAAATTTTGTGTGATCTAAGAAAATCACCTTCCATGATTAATAATATTTACAAACTTTACTGTACTAAGAATTCAACTTAAAAAGAATCACATTCAAAATAAACTCCACAATAACAAATTCTTTGTTTATGGCACCAAAATGTTACTTTTTGAATAGTCTTTGTTCTGTGGTATTTGGGTCCACTGATAATCCAACACAAATGCCAAACTAACACAGGTTCAGAACTATTAAGTAAAAAATAAATCGAGCATAGACAGTAGAGAAAAACAAGCAAATATAAGAAAATATTTATTAAACAATCACAGTGATATGTCACCTGAACTATTTAGGCTTCGTCTTCTGTCACATCTATCTGCTGGGACCAAGGGCAGGAGAACAAGAGCCTAAATCAAGAGAGAGATCTCTAGAAATACCTGACCTAAATACTCTAGCAAAACAAGAAAAGTTGGGTATCCCACAAGCCCATAGGTTATGTACATTAGTTTAAGGTTTACATGCAATTCTAAGTCAAGCCAGTTTTACAGGTTTTTGTATTGCCTGTTTGAATAGGAATAGGCTACCTTCTAAGATAGTATAATATAAAATTTAAGGACATCAAGGGGCCTGTTGGTCCATCTAAGACATCCCATCTACCAGGTAACTTTAAAAAACACTCAAAGCTAGCCTTTAACATTCAAATTTTTATCAAGCTTTCCATTAAACTCCCTTAAATTTCCTGTATCCACTACTTCTGAAGGTAGTTCATTCCAAAGGCCAACTACACTGTTAGAAAAATAAAACTGTCTTAGCTGCAAATGACTCCTATCCTGCCAAAATTTGAATACTTTGTCTTGTAGTCTTACCATTCTTATCATTAACTACATAAACACTAGCTAGAGGCTTAAGAAAAAGTTGGATTATGTAGCCTTCACCTGTTTAAAAAAAGTTGACATATATTTATAATATTGAGACATCTGGTCAACACAAATGTGGTTAATTACATACAGAAACTGATGGAGGTTTAGAACAACATTACATGAATAAACATATATCTGAAAAAAGATATATTCTATACTAGTTGTGAGAGAGTGAAATTCATAACTGTTTAAGGCATTTCATAGTTTTAAGAATCAACTAAACTTTTACACCATCACATATCAGAATAATTTAAGATAGACTAAATGTTAGGTTTGGTAAAAAAAATAGTAATTATAACAGAAGGATCTATTTATAGAAATTAAGTATAAGAGTAGGAAGAATATTATATTACTTTGAGTAAGATTTGGTTAAGCAGTGTGTAGTAGTGGCCCCACTGTTAAAAGAATATTATAGGAAGCAGTACTATAATTATAAAATATTGTGAATTGTGTGTGAATTTTATGTAATATTGAGAATATTAAAAATGCAAGTTATTGAAGATAAATGTAATATGAAATTGATACTTAGTGAAAGTAGGTTTAGGTCTCAGTATTTTTACTTCATAAAAAGAAAAAATGTCAGTTAATAGTATTTTGTTATTAATTTAAAACATTTTGATGATTGATGTTAGAATTTTTTTACTTAATCCAACCTTGTAATAATTGTTTAATTTTGTGATGTATGGTAAACAGAATTTCATATGATATACAAATTAATGTAGATGTTTTGAGTATCTTCAATAATTAGTTTTTTATGTGATTCTTAACAATAGGAGAAATCTACAATGTTACGTCACCGAGAAAAAGACCAAAATAAGTCTGTTGATTCAAAGTTTTCTACCAGTAAATTGAATGAAAATACCAATAAAAAGGCAAATAATGGATCTATCCATCACATAAGAGGACTAAGATTTTTCAAAAAAGTGGCAGTTTTAGTGTTTATCATTTATGGCATAGTACCACTGGCTTTTTATGTCTCACCATTCATTAGAAGATGCTTTATCTTTGCTCATCTGGTGAATTATCCTCCATTCTTCTGGCTTTCTACTCCAGAATATTTTGGTTTGAACCATGCAAGACACATGATGTTGAATAATGACAACATTAAGCTTGGAGTGTGGCATATTCTTCCTAAAAGCCAGGCTAAGCGCTGGAAGATTACACCAGAATCTGTTGTTCAAGAGGACTTTAAAGATAAGAGGCCAGTTTTCCTGTATCTTCATGGACATTGTGAAAACAGGGGTGCAGGATATCGACTAAATCTGTACAAAGTTCTTTCAGAGAGTAAAGTTGATGGCCATGTTGTAACCTTTGACTATCGTGGATATGGTGATTCGTCTGGAACACCTACTGCTTCAGGGGTAGTCAATGACAGTAGAGCTGTGTATTCTTGGATTAGACACCATGTAGACAAGAAGCGAATCATCATCTGGGGTCACTCTTTAGGTACAGCTATTGCTTTGAAGCTTGCTAAGGAACTTGCAAGGGAAGGGGAGCATCCCAAAGCCATTATATTAGAATCTCCCTTCAACTCAATTCGTGAAGCTGCCCAGAATTACCCATTGGGAACAGTTATGAACTTTATGCCTTACTTTCGTTCACTCATCATGGAACCTCTGAGGCATGAGGAGACCAGTTTTGAAAGTGATGAAATAATTGACCAGATTGCTACACCAATTCTTATTGTTCATTCTCCAAATGACTGGCTAGTTCCATATCATTTGGGAAAGAAGCTATATGAGAGGGCTCTTCTCAACAGACCAAGTAATTATGGGCCAGTACAGTTTATTGATATAGACAAAACAGGAGAAATTGGCTGTGGACACCGTTGGGTTAGTTGGGATCCTGATCTCCCCAATATTGTCATAAAGTTTTTGAACTCATTAAAGCTTAAAAACAAACTTAATTAATATTCAGTTGGTAAAAAATACTCGGTGTAACAGATATTTTGAGTTGAAATTACAAATTCAGAACAATACCTGAAGTATGCCTCATTACAGCCATATGTACACGTAGCAATCAGTATATTCTTACAATGCATGCTAAAAGAATTAATCATTTGTTGGAAAATTACATTCTCTCTCTCCATGAATAAAAACATTCAAACACATATATATGTATATCTTGGTTTGGTTTGAAACAGAGCATAATCTAAAGGTAATTTCTGCAAAAGAAGCAAAAAGCTTACTTGGCATACTTGAGAACTCTGTTTCCTCTCAAACTAAACAGCTTATGTTGTAAAGACAGCACAAACATAGAAGACATAACTATTTTAGTGTTTAAGCACAAATTGTAAAAAATACATGAGACATTAGATAATCAGTGTTGTCAAGTAAATGCACAGAACCATTATGAAAACTTTTTTGTATTTAATTTATGATTATTAAGAGAGAGAAAAGGAGTAAAGCATAGACTATTAAAAGAAATACAGAAGAAGTTATACTTGTTCTTCAATGATTGTGGTTTTGGTATTCCACAAATTACCCTTCACATTAGGATTTGAGTTAATGTGATATAGCTTATACAGTATAAAAATTATGTACCTTTGGTATCATTATTGATGTTAAGACTATATCACAAATATTGGTTGTGATTTAAAGTTTGTTATAGCTTATACAACATAAAAATGCTGTACCTTTGGTATCACTGTTGATGTTAAGACTATATCACAAATATTGGGTTGTGATTTAAAATTTGTTAAGACAGTTAATAATTAAGAATATTATATTAAATAAAAGGCGCAATATATCTGATACCTTTTTTTCTTTTTTTCAACAACAGTATTGAATATTTAAAATTTATTAATATTTTGAGAGTGTGTGCAGCTTTCACGTCTTTTCTTATAATTTATTTATAATTTAAAGTTTTTATATTTTTAATGAAGAACAAACACTCATGAACAGAGTGGTACAAAATTTGAAATATATTCATTGAATATTTAGGTAATTTTTTAAATTTTAAAAATGTTTTTCTTTATGTCAAATATAAAGAAATTTGTGCACTGTTGTAGCTTTTTTATAAATTCCCCAATTTAAATAACATGTACATAGAATGTCATGTGCATCAGAGAACATCTGCTTTATATATGCAGACCCAAAATAATCATTGTTTTGTGAGAAAAAGTGGTGATAAATTCTTAATTATTCTTTATTTCAAGAGATGTTTAAACATGTTCATCAATACTTAATTAATCATTTTATTATTACTGCTTTAATTCATGAAAGTGTATGTACTTCATTGGTAAGTTATCTACATAAAAGACTAAGTTTTTGCCACCCTTTGAAAAATTATCCATCACTTAATAATGTTATGGTTTACAAAATATTCAGTATTGAGTTTCTGAGTTTTTCATCCCACAATGAAATGCTAATGTCTGTATGTCACAGAAAATATTAAATTCGTTTAATTAAAGCTTTTAATAATTGTTTCTGTGCACCTTTGTATTTTTTCTGTTACAATAAGATAACACTAATGTGTAATTTAAAACATATTTGTTTAAATGTGCAAACATTTATTATTTCATAATGCTATAAATACCAATTATTTTCACACTTTGATAAGCATCAAGTAAAAAGAAAATGATTCTACCGGAGTATTTAAATCAATCAATTGTTCTTGAGGTCCAATTGAAATATTTAAGGAGTCTATTATTCTTATAAAACTACATTATTGTAGAATTAGAGCAGCCTAAAGCTTTATATAAAGTATTACTCTATTAAATATAATATTTTTGTTCAGGAATATTTTATATTCCAAATATTTCAGTTTTATATAGTGTACAACTGAATTTTTATGTTATTTTCATTAACACTGTGCTGAACAGTATAGAAGGCTCATGTAATTATTCAATTGTTTGATGTGTCAATAAAAAATATATAAATCTTATTATATTTCCAGGTTTTGGTGCTTTGCTTTAAAATGGCTTTAAAAAATTTAATATTTTTTATATTTTTTAAAGTCATTATTCATAATCTGTCATTCCTAAGGATTTTATAGAATTCCTTACCCTAGGAAACATATATTGTATGCTCAACATTTCTATTACCAAGGGCCATATGGGCATAGTTTTATAAGTAGTTGTTTTTACTGGATCCAGATATATATGGTTTATGAACCATTATTCAATAGAATCTATAATAAATAAATCAAATACAAGTTTTTTTCAGTATTTTGCCATATTTTACTTTTTTTTTTTTCTATTCCTGAGAATACAATATGCTATATAGCTAAAGTGTAAGTATAGTAATCATAAACCATCATGTGTAAGGAAGGTTGGTTGTTTAGTTATTATTGGGCACAAAGATACACAATGGACTATCTGTGCTCTATCCACCACAGGTATTGAAACCCAAATTTTAGTATTGATGTAAAGAGGAGAAATCTTATTGAATCCCTCTTCAAACAAACAACAAATGTGGCAAAAGCTACTAATATGATGTCCAAATGTGAAATATTGGTTCTAAATTCTGCTTTTGACTTTAATGAAATACTGCATTCACTACAAGGAACAAAAAAAAATCAGTTTTTTTTTTTTTGTTATTACCATTTGTCCATTCATAAATATGTCTTTCAAGAATGATTTTATTCAGTTGTTTTAACTGTAGAGAAAGCTTTCAGATTTAGTCGGTATCTGATAGGTATTGCATGCAAGATACAGTTTCAACAAAGTGTTTCTTTTGGGAAACATTTGTTTACCACATTTATCAAAATGTAGCACAAGTACTCCAGAGATATTGTACAACATGGAGCTTTATATTTCTGTCAACATATTTTAATCTACATCCTGATTGACCGAAAGCACATCACATGGTGTGAATCATTTTTACTGTTGACTTGAAAGCCGGGCAACAAATTGCATCAATTGTAATGGTGTAAATGCCTCTTCCAAGCTATCGAAGCATGAGTACTTGCCGTACGACATTAGTATTAGGCTTATTACGTTTCTTAACACTACATTCTTTATCTAGTCACTTCCTCCCACCCCCAGTGGCTCAACCATAAGTATGAAGGCTTATAACGCTAAAAAACATATTTTGATATCGGTGGTGGCACAGCTCAGATAGATGACCCATTGTATATCTTTGTGCTTACCAGCAAACAAACAGGCCTTTAGAGATTTTCAAGAATTAAAAGTGTATAATAGTATTTCAAACAAATTATTAATATCCATTGCTGTCAATGGCTGACTGGGACACAACAAACACAGTAGTGGTCGGAACATTATTTATATAAGCAATTTGTTACAACAGTGTGAATGACTTTTCTGCATATCTGATGAGCTCTAGATTGAACGAAACGCGTCGACCGCATTGGGTATGGTGAGCATAGTGTGGTTAAAATAATATTATTATACACTCTTCTAATTCTTGAAATTCTCTGAAAAATTATATGGAAAATGTAGTGTTAAAAACACAATAGATCTAATACTGTTGTCTTATAACAAAAATCGCATCATGACAGTGTTTTGCAGCACGGTGAAAACACACTAATTTATTTAGGCCTAATTACAAACAGTTTGCTCAAACTCATAAAATAACTGTGGATGTATGGCGTAAAATTTAAATAACTCGCAGATAGAGAGATGCAAAGTCGTTTAGGCAGCAGAACTTTACAGACGACAATTTCTTGCAGCACAGTGAAAATACGCTGATTGATTTATGCTTAAATTTATACTGTTACGTATCTGCTCGTTTGTTAATTTCCGGTATAAATTCTTTCCGAGAAACTTCA